GACTCATTTTCACTGTTTTTTGTCCAAGTTGCCCTTGCAAGATTTAGTTTCCCAGTGGAATTAAAATCTTCCTTACTGAGCGCCAGGGGTCGATTATCAGAAACATTGACGACGGTGGAAGAGCAGAATCGCCATTAAAAAGGTTTATATACTGACGTAGTGTATATATAATAGTGTCCTCAGTAAGAAGAGAGAGCCTCCTACCCTCGGCCAGATCATTCATTGGCACGTAAGCAAAGATGTTGGTATTTTAAGTGTGTCTTTTGAGCAGCTCAAAGTTCTGTTTCGGGTCGTTTTTAGGTGCGATGGAATGCGGTGCTAACCAAGTGGATCACGGGTTCAGAGGATGGTACTATTCGTGTTTGGGTATGTGATGATTTATAACAGCAAGAAACCGATATCCCCCGTTTAGTGAATCAATAAGCTGGCTATTTGCTGACATCACATGACGTCTTACAAAAGACTGAACAGACATAGCCTGCAAAACAGCCCCTATTTTTGCGTGCGTCAAAAACGCCAACGCGATCAAGCCAAAGTAAAGATGGAGAGTGAGATTAAGGAGAGAAACTTCAAGCTGTGAAAAACCGATTTTGAGAAAGAAAACCGAATGTCTCTTTTTTTCAGTTGAAGTCTAGAAAAGACACTGAAAAAAAAAAAAACAATACTCACCATCCAAAAACACAAACTAACTAACAATGGTTTCTGCGACACCAAATTTCACGGTGGCCGGCACCCGTTTTTACTACTAACTTGTTTCCAATCCACTCATGACAGAGAGCAGACGGAATGGCCTGTGATCTAGTTCTCAGTGCCCAAGGAGCAGTGTCGGCACTTTGCATTGACCAAGTGAACGGTTGCATTGTAGCAGGAGTGCAAGAAATTATTAGGTGAGAAGAGACGCCATATTACGAGGCGTATAACGTGTTCTCAGACCAGCGTGAAACCAATGTGGCCAATCAAAACATTTAACCAATCAGAATGCGAAGCTAGTACGTGTAGCCAATGCTAAGCGCGGGAAAAAGCGCGGGTTCAAGGAAGTATCGATTGGTTTTGTTTGTTCTTCTGATTGATGGAGAAATCAAAGCCAATCAAAATAGCCCAAACATTTGCGCAGTTCCCACTTTTATGCCTTTACAAATGTTGGCTATTTACACTTTTTCATTTCCCGGATTTCAAGTAATCACCCTTTCGAAGTCGACTGTCGAAGTCAATAATCGCACAGGAAATAAGAATATATCTATTTGAACAGTCTCTTGTTTCCGACTGGTCATTGTGAGATTGTACAGAAAAACCTCGTTTTCATGGCTCTCTGTTACTCGTTCCTACAGGGACGAGTAGAAGGACCCTGGGAACAATCGTGAAATTGGGTAGATTTTGTTTTCCCAATTGGCTTATTTGGTCGCGCCATCGCTTATTAGGTCGGTTACTACGAAGTTGCGCAGGAACCTGGTTCCAAATCCGTGCCCTACCAACAGTCCCATGGGGAAATTCGGCACAACAAGGACCCAGTCCCTTGCGCAACCTCGAAATTTTGACATATTGGCGGAAATTAACAGATGAGATGGCGGGTCATAAGATTAATTTTTGTTGTTTTGTTTTGTTTTGTGTTTCTCATTCCCTTCCTTTTGTCAAGGTGTTTTAACTCTTTAGAGAGAAATGTCATTTACTGACTATGTTTTCGTTCCCCAGAGTATATGATCCAGAAAGTCGTAAAATCGTTCAGAAGAATCTTGGGCACAATGATTCCGTACGCTGCATTATTCACATTCCCGAGAGGAGTCAGGTATTACTATGAAATTATTCCTTTGTTTATTTATTTGTTGTTTTCTTCTTGGATTTGCGAGGGGAAACTGGGCGAGCAAAACATTAGTACCCAGCAGAAGGAGTAAGAGTATCGGATAATGATTTCGATATCGGTACCGGGTATCGAAAAATATCGGTAGCGGGTATCGAAAAAATCAGGAAAGAGTATCGTACGTTTAAACTATTCTTAGAGTTTGTTTTTAAGAGTATGACAAATTGATCTATCCTACGAGCAGAGTCTGCTTGCAGGGTAAAATTGATTTCAATTTTTTCGATTTTTCTATCTCGTGTAAACCCATCCTAAGTTTTCTTTGTTTATCTGTTTATTTGCCGTAGTATGTTTCTGCTTCGTGGGATAAGACAGTTCGAATTTGGAACGCGTACAAGAAATGTAAGATAGTAGCTGTTAATTTTTGTGCTTTATTATGAATTATATTTTCTGAAAGTTAACTTACACGTGTACAACTTACACGTGTACATTGTTCACAATTTCATTTTCTTCATTGTATTTTTAGCTCGCAAAAAACCTGCGAAAGACACGACAGAATTTGCTGACTCCTGATGTGGATGGCTCAGTTATATAAGAATGGCTAGAAACATAGTATTCACCTGCCTACCGCGGAGTTCTAACATATCAGAAACCTATTTATATTATATTTCTTATACACAAAACTGTAAAACTGTAAATATGTAAATATTAATTTCAATTCTATTTTTATTTTAAAATTATTTTTGTATTATAATATACGGAAGAAAACAAAAAGCATTTAATATAATCCCACTGGATTACAGTTGGATTTACATATTGTAACCTTCAAAAGGGGCCAAGCTTTCGCGTAAACGGTCAAGTAAGGATTTAAGTCACAGAATTCAAAGTTACAACACCGTTCGAAACTACCTAAAGGCTAAATTATAATGAGCAATGTAGTGCAAGCAAGTCACCTAAAATACTAACAACTGGCCTTAGTTGTTTGAATGGCCGGTAAATAGTGTTATCTACAGGGTAAATCTCCGGGGGAGGAGGTTCTTTAGGAATTTTTGGATGGGGATGTGCCGCTGGGACCCTGGAACCCTTACCCTAAGCCAGAGCTAGTTCAGCTGAATTCTTCTACTCTACGTATACTAGACTAAACTCCCCCAACCACCTCCCCTCCCCCTATCCTAGGAACTACAGGGAACACTAACACAGTCCAGCCAAAACAAAACCGATTTGACTTTTTGTATTTTTGAGTTCAATTCCAGGTTCTCCTAGTCTAGACTAAAACCTTCAACTAATTGATCAGTGTCCTGGAAAATCATCCCTATTCTAGACCCAAACTCTCTGATTTATATACCCGATCCCAGAGTGAACCGCTTGAAAACCATACCCTTCACAGCGGCACATACCTATATAGCCCATATATGGCAGTACCCCCCCCCCCCCCCCCCCCCCCCCCCCCCCCCCCCCCCCCCCCCCCCCCCCCCCCCACAAACTTACGTCCTTATCGTTGTGTTTTTTTTTGTTTTTTCTTATTGTATTTTTTTGTATCATTAATTAGCCAGAGACAAGATAGGGTAGGCGGGGGATGATGG